CGGCCCTCAGGAGAGTGCAGGCCTGGAGGGTGGCGGACGATCTAGAGTCTCTATCAGATCATCATATCATCGAAATGAGACTATCCGTCACCCCGAACGGTCTGCGGCCCAGAAAGAAGGAAAATTCCCAACCAGCACGTTGGACCCTTAGCCAGCTAGACAGGGAGGTGCTAAATGTCTCCCTGGAGGCTACCACCTGGCCATATTGGGCGGAGGGGCAGGACCTGGACTCTGCAGTAGCAGAGACAATGGGTCTGATCGCACGGGCGTGCGATCAGGCCATGCCAAAAGTCAGGTCCTGCCCCAAAAGGGCCGCCTGGTGGTGGACCGACGAAATTGCGGAACTGAGGAGAAAGTCGGTCCACTTCAGGCGGGCCTTTAGGAGAGCCCGGAATAAACGGGTTCCGGATCCCGAGGCAACCTTGGCCGCCCGAACGGAATATTGATTGGCGGCGCGAGCACTGCGCAAAGCCATAGGGTTGGCCAGGCGAAAAGGGTGGGACAACTTCCTCCTAACGTTGGATGCGGATCCATGGGGGCGCCCCTACAAACTGGCCATGCAGAAACTACGGCCATGGGCGTCCCCGTTGACGGAGACGCTTGACCCCCGGTTCCTCGAACGGGTGATGGGGACCCTTTTCCCAGTGAGAGATGAGAACCCCATAGACCCATATGAAATTCCTCCCCTCGAATATCAGAGGCAGGTACCGGGGATCACAGAGGAGGAGTTGGTCGGGGCCATACAAAAGGTCAAAAGCCGTAAGGCCCCAGGACCTCACGGCATCCCCGGCCGTATACTCACCTTTGTCTCGGGGTTTATTTTAGGAAGGATGGCCGAGATTTTTACAAAGGCCTTTAAAGAGGGAAGATTCCCCCCAGTCTGGGGGAGGACCAATGTGGTCCTCCTCCAAAAAGAGGGCAAACTGGAGGACTCTCCCTCCGCGTATCGCCCCATATGCCTCCTCGACGAGGCGGGCAAAGTCTTCCAACGAGTCATCGCTGCCCGCTTCACGGAGCGTATGGCCCGGATAGGCCCAGGTCTAGATGACGGCTAGTTTGGCCTCCGAGAGGGATTTTAGACGCGAGATCGCATCTATCGTCGATCTCGCGTCTAAAATCTCGGAGGCCATAGTGATGGAGGACAATGTGGCGGTCGCTGTGTCTCTTGACATAGCGAACGCATTTAACACCCTGCCCTGGGGTAGGGTGGTTGAGGCTATGACTCAACATTTTAAATTTCCACCTTACCTCACGACCGTCATCGAAGACTACTTCCGGAATCGGTGTCTAACATGGAGGGACGCCGATGGTGGAGTACGCGAGAGGGGGATGAGCTGCGGTTCCACAGGGGTCCGCCCAAAAAGGGCTATGCCCAAGGCAGCGAAAGGGAAGGGCCAAGACCGAAAAGGCGCAACAGCGAATCCTGGCAGCGAGAAAACCAAGAAGGGGAAGAAGAAAGAAGGCCCAACAACAGGCCAAGTTCCAGGGACCCCTGAGGTAATTCCGGCGACCACCTCCCAGAAACTTGTTTCAGGTCCAGAGACATGGAGTAGGGTCTTTGGGAGGAAGGAGAAAAGGAAGGAGAGGAAGGAGGAGAAGAAGAAGTCCCCTCCTCAACCGGCCCCCGGCCCGAAGAGGGGACGGGTAGCAGCGGCGATGATGCTGAAGCCGCCTAGATCGGCGGCCGTCACCATCACCTGCCCCAAGGACTCGTATAAGGAGTTAATGGTTGAGGCCAGGCGCCGGATCAAACCGGCGGACGTGGGCATACCCGGGGCCTTCATACCCGGAGGAACTCCGCAAGCTGGCGGCGGGAAAGGGCCCCAACTATCGCATCCAGAGGTGAAGGTTGCAGCAATGCGAATCACCGGCCTGGATGCGACGGTCGGGGCCGAGGAGGTGGCGTTGTGGCCCTCGCTGAGGGATGCCCGCCGGCAGATGTTTCCGTCGGCGAATTTAGTCTCATCCAGCGGGGAACGGCGACGACGGTGATGCGGGTCCAGGTTGGCTGAACCCGAACCGGGCTGATGGTGCTACCCCCCCGCGCGGAGTTCCGCTTCAGGTGCCTAGAGCAGGGACACGTGCGCGGGCGGTACGGAAATGCTGTCGACCGCAGCGATAATTGCTATCGCTGCGGTACTCCCGGTCACCGCGCCAACCAGGCGGCGGCGGCACACTGTCCGGTGTGTGCGGATGTAGGCAGGAGGGTTGACCACAAAGTCGGCGGTCCTGTCTGCAAAGCCCTCACGGGCCGGGAGAAGAGGAGGAGGGGCGCGAGAAGGAATCAGACTGGGCTCAACCTGAAGGGAGAGACGGCGAGCGTTCCTCTCTCTCCCACGGAGGATAAAGAGGAGGCCGGACTGGCCTCCTCACTAATGGTGCAGGTAGGAGACAGAGGAAGGTCGAGCCGGCCTCCCTTCCAACGGGGGAAGAGGAACCGATGGCGGCGGAGGCGGCGGAAGACCGCGATCTGGACCCCACCGCAATGGACATTCCGGAGGAGCCACGGCCCCAGAGGGAGAAGAGGAAGAGGGGGGCCATGCAGGCGGTGACCCCAGAAGCTGGACCGAGGGAAACGATGACGGCGGCAGAGGAGACGACCCCTCGCCGGTAGCTTTATTGGAAGGAGAGGAGGCTGAAGGTGATCGCTCCACCCCCAACAGCCATAGTGGAGGGGGAGTCCGGGGACGCGCCATCCCCGGCTCCCTCAACAGGTGACCCCCCCTTGTACTCCAGAGAGGAGGAGGTTTCACAGGTAGGGACCCCTCAAGTAGACTCCGAGGAGGCACCCGTTCCGGAGGCCACCACGGCTGATGGTCCCCCTGGGGAGACTGAGGCGGGGTTGACACTGCCTGATGTCTTCCCGAAGGGACCGGAGGTGAAGCGCCCGGAGGAGGCGTGAAAGGCTTCGCCTTCACGCTACTCTGGGTCTCCCAAGTCAACCTCGGGCGCGGCGCCAGGGCCCGAGACCTGTGGATTCACAGGTGGGCTTGTGGAACTGGGAGCCGGGCTGAGGGTGGTCTCCTAGCCGCACTTTGTTCCACCCGGTAAGTCCAAGTGGGGTGGATAGCAAGTGCGGCTCGGTAGCCGTGGTGGCCAATCCCGCTGCGGATCCCCCCCTGTAAAGTCAGGAAGAGAGGGACTCGTATGTGGCTGTTAACTGTGGGCCCGTCACTGTGATGGGGTGTACCTCCCCCACCACAGAAATAAGGCCGGCCTCGGTAACCTTGCCCGCATAGTGAGGGTCCTGGACAGGGTCGGGGACGTGGTACGTCAGTGCCACCCCCGACCCGTCGTTGCCGGAGACTTCAATGCCTACTCCGAGGAGTGGGGTTGCAGTCCCCGATAGAGGGACCCCGGGGCAAGGACGTGGCCGACTGGGCGGCGGGATTGGGCCTCGTGTTAATGAACAAGGCGTCCACTAGCACCTGTGTGCGGCCGGTGGGAGGCGAGTCGGTCATAGACCTGACGTGGGCCTCCCCCTCGGCTGCCCGGGATTTCTGGGAGTGGGTGGTGGAGGAGGAGAGCAAATCACTGTCCGACCATCGGTTGATAACGTGGTCTCTCCGAATTCCCACCCCTCACCGGGTGCTGGATCGCCGCCCGGGGGAGGGGGACCTTCCCCTCCCTAAAAGATGGGCCCTCAGCCGGCTGGATGCGGATTCAGGTTTCAGGCGGCTGTCCTCGCGGCCACCTGGCATCTGGATGAGAGGCCAAGTGAGTGGGACCACCCCCCCCTCTTGAAGGGGCTAGGGTGGCGGTGGGCATCGTGGCGACGGTTTGCGACGCTGCGATGCCCCGGTCCCACCCCTGTCAGCGCCGGGCTGCTTACTGGTGGACGCGGGAGCCCGCGTATCTCCGCGATTCCTGCGTCCAAGCCAGGAGGGTATACACCCGGGCCCGGCGACGAGACGGGGAAGCTGCGAGGGCGAAAGAGGGCTACGTCCAAGCGAGGGAAGCTCTCAAAGCCGCCATCGCTGAGGTCAAGGAGGGAGCCTTGGAGCAACTAGTGAGCTCCCTGGATGATGACCCGTGGGAGCACCCGTATAAGCGAACGATCGGTAAGATCTGTCCGTGGGCGCCCCCCGTCGACGGAGTCAATGGACCCCCAGGACCTTGAGGGGCTCCTCGACATCCTCTTCCCGAGGGCGGAAGGCCCGCCCCAGATCCCCGTTCCTGAACTACAGGACGGGGACTGGGACGAGTACCTGGGGGTCTCGCCAGAGGAGTTCACTAGGGTCAGGAAGAGACTCGGGGCCAAGGGCAAAGTCCCTGGCCCCGACAGTATTCCTGGCCGCGCCTGGGCTCTCGCCCTCAGCGATGAAAATCTATCAGCTGCCACGTGGTAGGTAATAGAAGGATGCCTCAGGGAGGGAGTCTTCCCCCAGGAATGGAGGAGGGCCAAATTGGTCCTCCTCCCGAAGGAGAGTAAAACGCCCGGTGGAGCGTCGGCCTACAGGCCGATATGCCTGTTGGACGAGACAGGCAAGATGCTAGAACGCATCATTGCCGACCGCCTCGTCCAACATCTGTCCCTGAAGGCGCCGAACCTCCACGGCAATCAGTACGAGTTCAGGCCCGGACAGTCGATTCTGGACGCAATCCAGGATGTCCGGGACCTGACCCGTACCGCCGTGGAGGAGGGAGGCGGGGTGTTACTCGCGGTGTCACTAAACATCACCAATGCGTTTAACACCCTGCCTTGGCCGCAGATTGGACGGGCCCTCGAGTATCACGGGGTGCCCGTCTATCTCCGGCGTATCCTGTCGGCATACTTCAGGGATAGGGACCTCACCTACTCTGGGAGAGGCAGGGTCCAAGGCCGGCGCAACATGGAGCGCGGTGTTTCGCAGGGGTCCGTCTTGGGCCCTCTGCTATGAAACATCGCGTTCGACCAGGTGTTACGCTCTCCCATCCCCCTTGGCTGCCACGTAATCTGCTATACAGATGATACGTTGGTACTGGCCGAGGGAGGGAATTGGGGGGAGGCTCGCCTCCGAATGGAGGCGGCGCTTGACTCGGTGGTGGGCATCATCAAGTATCTCGAGCTCAAAGTGGCCCCCCAGAAGACCCAGCCCGTGTTGTTTCATGTCCGGGATCGATGCAGGCCACAGCGAGCCCGGATCCTGGTGGATGGTGTCTGCGTCCACGTCAAGCCCTCGATGAAGTATCTGGGCTTGACGTTGGACAGCCAATGGGGATTCAGGTCTCACTTCAAGCAACTGGCCCCCCGGGTCCACAAGATAGGCACAGCGCTGGCTGGCCTAATGTGGAAGCAGGGGGGTCCAGGTTGGCGGGCTCGCCGCCTGTACACTGGTGTCGTGCTCTCGGTCGCCCTGTACGGGGCGCCCATATGGGCGCCCCGACTCCTAGCGACGGGCTACAATAAGGGCCTAATGCGCCAGGCGACGCAGTCGGTGCTGCTGAGGGCGATCCGGGGGTACGGCACCGTCTCGTACATGGCGGTGGACACCTTGGTCGGCTTCCCCCGGTGGAGCTCCTTGCTGAGGAGAGATATCTCCTATACTGGCGCATAAAGGAGCTCCGCGGAGGTGGGAGGGATTAACGGCCGGGGACCTGAAGGCCTTGAAGATCCAGGCCAAAGCCCGGGTCCTCGACAAGTGGTCGGCCGAATTGGCCGACCCGCGAGGATTCGGGTTTCAGACGGCCGAGGCTGTCCGCCCCTGCCTACCGGAAATGGCGGGCAGGAGGGGGCGCGGATTGTCCTTCCACTTGGTGCAGGTACTGACGGGACACGGTTATTTCGGAAAGTACCTGCACCGAATAGGGAAAGAATCCACCACCGAGTGTCACCACTTCCCGGAGCCCGTGGACTCGGTGCACCATACGCTGTGTCATGCTCCGAGTGAGCCTGACGAATTAACCATAATTAATATACATTAATTATATAGACGAAAGTGCCATGCGAAGCCGCACTTCCGCTTGCGTCGCACGTGTTGCAAGCTAAGCATCACGCCACTCAACGGAAGTCCAAATAAGGCAATAGGCAAAGACGCACCGTCAGCATAGACGAAGGTCGCAAGTGGCGTGATGTTTCCGCAAAATTTACAAGATTCCTTCGGCGACGAATCTATAAATCGACTGACGTCTCCGAAGGAAGTCAGAGCCTGCCAGACCATCCGGCCGAACGAACCTAACATATATCTATCTCTAAGACTACATTTGTAACGCGTTAGCATGGGATTAAGTCAATAAAGACTCCTTTCTTGAAATAAAAACTAAGTTTTTATTAGAGAAACTCCTCCGCCATCACTGTCTCATATCGATCCCACGACAGCTGATTGCATGCCCAGCATGGAGTCAGCAGCGCCGAGTCCTTGCCCGGGCGGTGAGGTGCCAGGTGAAGGAACTCTCGCTCCCGCGCATGGTCCAGGCCATGTGCGGCAACGAAGAGGCGTGGAGAGCGACGGCCTCCTTCTGTAGAGACGTTATGCCGCAGAAGGAGGCCGCCGAATGGAGGCGCCGCCCTGGCCGCCGTCGTAAAAGACGGCGGAGAGGGCGGGGCTCCCAGGGATTAGCCAGTGGGCCCGAGGTGGCGCCGGCCGAGGAGCCGTCCCCGATTGATCGAGGGCCTCCTTGGCCGCCTCGGGCTCGACTTTGGACGCGCGGTGGAGAGGCGACGGAAGGGGCGTGAACCCTCCCGCCTCCCCGAGCGTCGGTAGTGGAAGAAAGGGGGGAGTGAAGGCCCTCTGGGAAAGGGCCTCACTCCCCCGCCCCCTTGACTTAAGAGTCGAGTGGGGGCGCGGAGGGAGGGTAGGCATGTCCCCTGCCTATGAGTTGAAACCAGAAAGCCAACCCGGCTGGACATAGTCCGACTAGAGTACCGTGCCCCGACCTCCTTTGGAGAAAGGGGGCGCGGCAATTGGGCGTGGGGCTCCTTGCATGAACCCTGGGACCGGGGTGTCGAGGAGGGAATGTTGGCGCAGTTCCCCTGACTCCCCCCATCTCGGCCCGACCGGTAGACATCCCGCAGAGATTTTAGTGAGTAAGAGTCTCACATAACCCCCTGCCTCTCCCAGGAGGTGGGGGGTACCCATGATGGGTTTCCTCTGCGTTAACCAAAAAAAAGAAGGGTTCTGATTGAGGCCCAGACTGGACTGTACCTGGTGCTTTAAAGAGCATTTTAGTCGTCTGGTCCCCCGATTGAGAGTAGTGTTAGCTAATCTCGGCAAACTCATGTCGAATATCGGAGGACCAGACTGGAAGACTCGTCGCCTCCACGCTGGGATTATAAACTCAGTCGCCCTATATGGAGCGCCCATATGGGCTGAGGTCCTGGTCGTCAGCCGTCCGCTTCAGGCCGTCCTGCTGCACAGAGTGCAGCGGACGATGGCGATCAGGGTTATCAGGGGTTATTGGACTGTATCCCACGTGGCGACGACGGCCCTGGCGGGCATGCCTCCTCTGGAGCTCCTTGCCTTCACGTACAGAACTATGTACATGAAAAGGGGAGAGCTCCGGAGGACGTTACAGGCAGGAGAGTCGCTCGCCGGGGCAATGCAACGCTCAAAGCACCAGGCTCAGCAACTCCTTCTCCATCGTTGGCAGAGGCGTCTGTTGGACGCCAGATATGGGAGAAGGAGTGTCGAGGCCGTCCAGCTTTGTCTTCCCGAATGGGTGGACAGGGACTTCGGAGCCCTAACCATTAGGATGACACAGGTACTCACCGGGCATGGTTGCTTCGGTGAGTACCTGTGTCGAATCGGAAAAGAACGCACGGCGCAATGCCACCACTGCGAGTGTGGCCACGACTCCGCGCATCACATGTTACAAGACTGCCCAGCGTGGGCAGTTGAGCGCAGGATCGTGGTCAATGAGTTGGGTCCTGATCTCTTACTCCCCAGATTAACGCCATACTGGGGGGTGAGAGGAAGTGGGACGCCTTCGCCTCCTTTTGCGAGAACGTTATCTCGCAGGAGGCAGCGGAGGAGATCCGCAGGCGGAAGGCAGGAAGAGGGCGCGGAGGAGACGGCAGCGCCGTCGAGTTATGAGTCGCTCCCCCAGTAGGGAGGGGGACATAGATTCCTCAGAAGAGGAAGCTTTTAGAGGGATGGTGGATCCGCAAAATCCCCCGCCACCCCCACCACCTTCCCCCAACTCCTCCTCCTCCACCTTTACCACCTCCTCCACCATCCCTCCCAATAACCCTTCCCTATCATCCTAAGACATCCTTTCCACCATCCCAATTACCACCACCACCACCCCGACCATCCCAAAAAAGGGTTCTCCCCCAACCCGGGTAATGCCCCCTCGCAGGGCAAAGCGCGGGGGAGGACACTGACCACGATTACGGCGGCGGCCTACACCCAAATGCAGGCAGCCATTCCGAGAGACCAAGACCGGGGGGCTGTCCAACCGCCCCCAAAACGGGGGTCGGATGAGGGTAAGGGTGGGAGAGTGAGGTGACGAAGTCACCAGTCAAGACACCTCCTCCCTTACCTTAATGACCCACAATATGTGGGTGGTTAAAAGAAGGGTCGCAGACCCCTCCTAACCTCTTTATGAGGCATGTACGCCCGGCGGCTAGGGGATTTGATTATTCCCCCCGTAACCGACGGGCAGGAGGGTGGGGCTCCAGGCGGGGATTCCCGGTGCCCCAACTAGCCCTCCAAAAGTAGGGCGGCTAGTTGAGGAGGTGGATCAATTAGCCGCACAACAGTATCTAGGCGGCGCCCCGTCCGGCTGGGAACGGAGGTCGAAGCGGGCCGTTTGGCCGGCTTCTCCCTTCCCAGCCACATGAGCGGGGCGTGAGGGGTGCAGGGGGAGCGGAGGTTGAAGACGGGTCTTGACTTGCTTCCCCCCTCCCCTGGGGGAGTGGAGGTTGAAGATAAGCTTCGGCTCGCTTCTCCCGGCACTCCTCGAGGGAAAGGCGACGGCATTATGCCGTCTGGACTCGGGACCCCGATAGCAGTTGCGCGGCTCCGGGGCTCCGAGAACAGTCCCTTCGCAGCGCCATCCGGGGAGGTTTTAGTCGGTAGGAGTCCGGCATAACCCCTCACCCTTCCCCGAGGGTGGGGGGTATCCATAATGGACTTCCTCCTCGTCACAAAAAAAAAGCTACCGATGACGAACCGATACCAGGATGGGATCCCGCTATTAAAGCCCACCGACGCCGACGCGGTACACGAAATTCACAAATGGGATTGTAAATTTACGGGAAAGGATCCCCTTAAATTTTTAGAACGGATCGATGAGCTCCGCGTCTGCTACGGACTCACTACACGGTAATTATTCTGGGGTATCCCGGAGATGCTTCGAGGGGACACTCTCTTATGGTATCGAAACCATCGACCCAATTGGCGGAACTGGGACGATTTTTGCGCTGCCTTTCGCGAGCAGTTCTTACCGCCTCGATACCGCGAGGAAATGTGACGCCAAATCGCCGAATGCCAGCAATGGCCCCACGAATCATACCGGGAATATGAAAATGCGCTACTTACCCTGATCCGACGCAGTGGCGATAACGACGAAATTAATAACACGCTGGGCCGCCTACACGATAATTTGGATCCGGGTTATAAAATGTTCTTAGGAGCTTACGAAGTACGAGATATTGTTAATCTCGGCAGATTAGCTCGGAAGGACGAGGAGCTAGTCCGACAACAGCGAGCTTAGGGGAAACCGCCCTGACTAAGCGGACCCACCGTAGCTACCATGGCTAATGACCGCGAGGCATGTTGTTGACGGTGCAAGCAGCCAGAGCATCAGCGACAAGGCTGCGATCAACCCGCCCTCAAATTTTGTTCACGATGCGGGAAGGAAGGTGTGCTCGCAAAAAATTGCCACTCGCAGCCGGGAAACGCAAGCACGACCGGGGAGCGGACCCTCCCCGGTCCCACGAATAACGTATATACTGCACCCCATAATACCCGTGCGCTACCGGAATCGCCCTTTTTGGGCACTAATTGACTCTGGGGCCGAGACCTCTCTGGTAAGCGCCGAATATCTAAGGCCCGAGGATCGACCCATCGGACACAAAGGTAACCTTGGCCAATGGCACCCAGATTGCCACCTGCGGAAATACTCACCTTATGTTTTGGGTGGGAACACAACAATTCCATCACCACTTCACGGTTATGGACAAATTGACAACACCGATTATCATTGGCATGGATTTATGGGCCCGACTTGGCATAACTCTACGACCACCGCCACCACCGACTGCAACTCGTACCCCTAGAATTGGGGAAGTCAAAGAGATCAGACAATCACCTATCACGAGTGAGAACGAACAATTACAACTCTTTTTACACCAGGAACTGGGAAAATTCGAAATCGTCTCCGGACCTACCCCCGCTATTCGCCATGAGATCCGACTGCGACGCGGGACGACGCCCATCAAGCAAAGTTACCGACAACGAAATCCAGCTATGCAACAGATCATTGACGAAGAAGTAAATAAAATGGAGGCCGATGGGGTCATCGAATCCTCCAACAGCGCCTGGAGCTTCTCCGTGGTCTTCGTCAGGAAGGACGGCGGCTATCAGTTCTGCATAGATTTTCGAAAGGTTAACGA